GGACCAAATCTGTCCCCAACAACCTAGCCTCACCGGGCTCAAACCAACCCACTAGAGTTCTACGCCGCCTCTCATATAAGGCCTTATACAGTGCCATCTGAATACTGGACTGATAGCTGTTGTTGTAGGCAAACTCTACAAGTGGTAAAAATTCAACCCAAGAACCTCCAAAATCAATCACGCAAGCACGCAACATATCCTCTAATATCTGAATAGTACGCTAGGACTGTCCGTCCGTCTGAGGATGAAATGTTGAACTCAACTCCACCTGAGTGCCCAACTCGTGCTGAAAAGTCCTCCAAAACTGAGAAGTGAACTGAGTACATCTATCCGAAATAATAGTAACTGGAACACCATGCAACCGCACAATCTCCTGAATAAAGATCTTAGCCAGTCGCTCCGCAAAATATGTGGTACACACCGGAATGAAATGCGCTAACTTGGTCAGCCTATCCACAACGACCCAAATTGAATCAAAATTCTTCAAAGTCCGAGGAAGGCCACTCACGAAATCCATAGTAACTCTCTCCCATTTCTACTCAGGAATAATCATCTGCTGAAGCAAACTGCCCGGTCTCTGATGCTCATATTTCACCTGCTAACAGTTGAGACACCAAGCTAGGGGTGGGCATAAAATCCGAAAAACCGAATTCCGAACCAAACCGAATTAATTCGGTATTTCGGTTTCGATTTTTTCGGTATTTCGGTCTAATTCGGTATTGCAATTTCGGTATTTCGGTCTAATTCGGTATTGCAATTTCGGTATTTCGGTACGGTCCTCGGTATTAGACATTTGAAATTTCGGTATACCGAAATACCGATTGTTTTAAAGACATTTTTCTAATTTTCTTATTGACCCAGTGAACTCCCCAGCCCAACGCCTAAGCCCAAAGCCCCAGCCCACCCTGTTTAAAGTTAATTTTTTCGTCATTCATTAGGTTAGGGCATTAGGCTATTAGACAGAGCAGCAAACGAAGAGTCGAAGAGACGAAGATGCTCCATTCCTCAATTCCTCAGTCCGATTCCTCAATTTCTCAGCCCGATTAGGCGATTTCCGGCTTTCCGAGCTCCGATTAGGCGATCCTCACTCCTCAGTCCTCACAAATTCTGGGCAAACGAAGACGTTGTTGTTGCGAACTTGCGATAGTTTCAATTTTCAAAGGTATGTTTCTAATTTCTACTATTTTGTGCTTTTTAGTCAATTCAATTAGTAGAAAGATAAAGTTTCACCTTGGAATCTTCGTCGGAACATGAAATTTAAAATGCTACTTTCATGACTGTGTGCAACTAACATCATTTATGTTCTTTCAGTTTTAAACCTCGGAATACTTATCTATCAAGAACTCTTATTGCTCTGTTGACCTATGGAGGTGTTCCCGCAGAGTATTTCTTTGATATACTGAATAACACTTTGGAGGAGACACAAAGGTTATACTCAGATGAGGTAACATCACTAAAAGGTAATTCTTGGTTTAGAAGAAAATTACAATAAAACTAAGTCTCTTTGCAATTGTTTATGGTTATAATCTACCACGTGTAAGGAGAAATGTGGACCTTCAAATACTATTACCCGAAAACTTTAAACTTATGTGTAGTGTTGCTTAAATTTCAGCATGCGGTAACATTTTGGTTCTCAAACTTTCAAATGATGTCTTGAAAATATTACATGCTTATTTGTACAATTAACAAGCTGGTGCCTGTACTGGTTTTAAATAAACATTGTCTGAAGCCTTCTTTCCGATTTGATACAGAAGCTTTAATCGTAGTATTCCTTTACCTGCATTGATCTTAAAATGCATGACTCTGTTCTAAGTATCTGTTGATTGCTTTACCAAATCAGACCTTTACTTTTTTTGTTTTATTGGTTATATCTCCGTGCAGTTGCAGCGAACCATAGAGATCGTGATGATGCCTCTATTGCCACGGGTATGATAATGGCTGGAGTACCTCTCTGTGAACCGTATCTTAGGTGTTGCTTATCTTCATTGGCAAAGGAAGAAAGAAATGGGCTAAAAGGAGGAAAACTTCCTATCTCTGATACTTTCTATTTAATGGGGACAGCTGATCCGACGGATACTTTAAATCCTAATGAAGTCTGTGTTATTCTGTAAGTATACTTTAAATGCATCATATATGACCCTTGAGTAAAAGTTTAACTAACCTAATAAGTAATTGTTTTGACCTAGTAATTTCAGCACATGTATGTTTGTAACTTGTGTCATCTTTTGATGCTATGCCTTTACTTTTAAAAAGTCAAACTGGAAACTTACAAAGTAAAACTCAACAATTTTATGCAGTGAACACGGACAGATATCTGGAGAGGTACTAGTATACAGGAATCCCGGACTTCGCAAAATAGAGTGCAAGCATTGTGGTCAAGTCAATAATGTTAATCCAAAGAGGAATGGAACAATTGGTTTAAGGAAGCATATTAAGCATTGTCTTGCGCGTGTTCCTGAAATCCGTATTTAAGAATTAAGATTTAAGACTGTTTTTGTTGAGGGATGTCCTCTCTATTTAAGTTAACTCTGCTACAGCTGCTGCATCTGTTAAGTGTTAATTTTGGTAAGACTGCTGCATCTGTTGCACCTTGATAATTTATTGTTT